TAGTGTTTTTACTGTTTAAAATTAATATGGCCATTTTTTTTGTGACAGCTGTCAAATTTTTATCAACTTTCTTTTAAATATATATCACAATAATGATCTGGAAATACTTTGTTTTGAAACTTAACATAATGTGGGATTTGTGTAGAGTCCTTTTTGGAGAATGTTGATAGTGTCTTTCTCAGATCTTTATTTTAGGTTAGGCACTCCTAATAAACTGATGTCAGGTAGGGTGGTTGATAGTGGTTGCAAGCCTTCCTTTTCAGCCACACTTGATGAAAATTTTTTTCTGAAGCTCAGAGGAAGATCTGGTGTGACTGCTTACCAAATATGTAGGAATATGAAATTTGATATAGGTAAAATATGTGATTGAATCAGATTGGCTAGCTCTTGACACAATGACATTCAGCAAATTTGAGTTAAAAAATTAAGTATAAAAGTCTAGGACTGGGACTTCCCTGGTGGCACAGTGGTTAAGAATCCACCTGCCAATGCGGGGGACACGGGTTTGAGCCCTGGTCCGGGAGGATCCCACATGCCGCGGAGCAACTAAGCCCATGCGCCACAACTACTGAGCCTGCACTCTAGAGCCCGCGAGCCACAACTACTGAGCCCGTGTGCCACAACTACTGAAGCCTGTGTGCCCTAGAGCCCATGCTCCACAACAAGAGAAGCCACCGCAATGAGAAGCCCGCGTACTGCAATGAAGAGTAGCCCCCGCTCCCCGCAACTAGAGGAAGTCTGCGTGCAGCAACAAAGACCCAATGCAGCCCAAAATAAATAAATTAAAATAAAAAGTCTAGGACTTTTTGATCTGTGGCTTAATAACATCTAGAAAAAAACAGATGTGAATTTTAGTTTTTAATCCATCATAAAAAAGTTATGTGATGCAGCTGAAAAAGGGTCTATGACATTTTAAATGATATTATATTATGGAGAAAAACTTGGTAGTACAAACTTGAGAAAGAAATTCTATAGCAGTGTGCTATTGGTAAGGTGTTCAAGTAAAAAAAGAAACAATGAATGATGTAGGCCAGGCCTCTATGTATCGAGATAAATAGCCACTTAATTTACATGCCCAAAGCTTAGCTGGATATTTAAGAAACAAAATTGAGTGATACAGATCTCTACCCTCAAACAACTCCCACCCTGTTAGGCTTGATTTTAACCCTACATGAAGCTATTTTACAGGATGAAAATTTGCTTAACGTGATTGTCATGTCCAGTCTTTTAATTTAGTTCCCATAAGTACATAACATACTCCCAGGGCATAATCTTAAGCACTAAGAAAATCTTATTTAAAGTACAGTATCCTTTTGCTGACAAACTCTTTGGTGGGTATTCAGATTATTCTCCTGTTTGGCTTCAATATCTCTAATATGAACGTATGCATTATGGCTAGAAATCTCTTGAATTTACAGATTACGGCCAAGTTTGGTGGGAGAGCTTTATAATAACAGTCTTTGCAATAGAGCCCAAGCAGAAATCAGAACAACATTTTTGCACAGAGTCCACTTAAACTTGTACTTGCACCTAACTAAAAGCTTGAAAATATTTGAATTAGGAGACACTATGGAAAATGCCATAAACTGGCAAAATGAAATATTAGAAAGGAAAGGTTCTGCTAAAGAGAAGTTTTGTTAATTCATGATTTTATTCACCTAGCAATCTTAAACAAAACAAAAACTTTCTCATCTTTTGGCTATCCAAATATTCCAAGTATCTCCTAAATGTTGCTTTCCCACAGATCCCAGTTTATATGAGCAAATATTGCTTTCCCACAAACTCCAGTTTATGTCAGTAAATATCACTTTCCCACAAATCCCAGTTATGCCTAAAGATAGGGAGGCAGACGGTGGGACAAATTCTACTAGGAGAGCTCTTTCTTCTTATTCCTGAGACTAATTAAATCTTTTTAAAAATAAACATCAGTGGCAGTTTAAACAGAAACAGGAGAAAAGCGAAGCCAAAAGTCTGAGAAGTGTGTGAATGGGGGAGAGTTTTTGTCAGGATTTTCCATGCTGATTCTCAGTATGTGTTTTCCTTTCTCCCCACTTCCTAATCCACACCCACACATCCTATTGATCTCTGAGAGGCAGAAGTGAGTGATGGCGTGAAGCGAGATCTTAATTCCTTGCCCAGGAATTGAACGTGGGTAGCCTGGATAAAAAACCAGGAATCCTAGCTGCCACACCCCCTGGCTCTTGCTCCCAGTGAAAAATGCATTTCTCACAGAGGCAAAACTGTAAAAACAGGTACAAAGTTTATTATTAGAGACACAGCACAACAACAAGTGGGAGAGCACAGTTTGTTAAGACAGAAGCAAGGCAGAGAGGCACACCAGGAGAGAAAGGGTGCGGGTGCCCTCCTTAATGAGGAGGAGTGCAGTAAAGAGGTGCTTAAGTCATCTATATAGGGCAGTTCTTCTGGGTCTTTGTTTACCTTTGGTCAATTATCTGGTTTCTTTTTCCACACCTGCCCTGCCTTAGGACCCTCCCCAACATGCGTGCACAACAGCCCAGAGGCTATGGGATGGCCTTAGCATCACATATTAGGGGGTGGTGCCCCCTCCCTTTTGACCCCCAAGGAGCCTTTTCTAAGCATGTGCAGTATTTCCCTTGCCCCAAGGATGGGAAGTGTATGAACTCTTGATCTTTTAACAGGGTTTAGTCCCACTGAGTCCCTGCCATAAAAATGTCCAATGTCCAGTTATTTACCCTATTTCTGTTGCTGGTTTTTACATCAAGGTACAGATCTCGAAATATAGGCTGGAGTCCGGTCATAAATATGTAGTTCTGGAGCCCGTTTGTCTCTTGTATGTGATGTAAACAGGGGGCTGGTAATGAATGTCCGGCCTGGAGCCCATCTTCTTCTAACCCCAGGAAGTGTGAGCAGGAGGCTAGTTGTAAATGTCTAGTCTGGAGCCCATCTATCTCCTGCCTCACTATCCTCCTAAACCCGGGGTAATAAGAAGCTTGATTGCAGGTGTAAAATTCATGGGCCTTCCAAAAGTTGAGTACATCTCTCCAGGTGCATTTCATCTGCTGCTAATGGAAAAGCAAAAAGTATAACCTTTTACCCCAAAGCAGTTAGCTTGGTTAGCAGCATTAAATTAAAATGAGAAAATGCAAATCCTAATAATCTCTCACACTGAAGTAGAAAATCAGTTTTGGTTCTGAAATTTGGTGAGGAATAAATTCAATTTTTATTAGTTATTTCACATCCTAATGAGGATTCCCCAATGATGGCTATGCTTATGACTCTACCGAACAACATTTCAACGGGCTGACAGGTTTCTCGCTTTAATTTTATTCAAGACTTGGCGTCAATGATTTTTTTGGTTCCCTAATTCGGAAAGACAAACTAGTCAGGGGCATTTACTATATACTTACATTGCCTTATGTGGCAGCCTGCCCTACTTCCTTGGAAGAAATAAGGAATGGGTTTGTGATGGTCAGAGGAGACTAGTTCTTAGTGGCACACTGAAGTTACCAATCCCACTTTTAGTCTTAAAACCAGAAAGCTGGAGCTGCCTATCTACTCCTGCCCCCACCTCCATTTTAACTGCCAATTAAAAAAATTATTAGAGAAATATTCAAACATACACTAAAGTTGAGAGAATTGTGTAATTAACCCCATGTATCCTGTACTCAGCTTCAATAATTATCAATACTTTTAGGCAGTTTTCTGACCAGGAAATATAATGCCCTAAAAGCCTCATTTCTTTATCTCTGTTTGGCTTTTGTCTTTCAAATTTTGGTTCCTGGGGCTTTGGACACGGCAACTGTATTAAAAGAAGGATTTGAGTGAGGAATTTAGTGTTTAATGTCAGCCTCTGTTTCAGCTCTCCTCCCTCTCTGGAGAAGCCACTGGTTACAGGGTGCTAGGCGGAATCTGGCAGTATTTATTGCGGCCAAGAGCTGTTTTTCATAAAACAGATCACTGTCCCGATTTCCGTGCAGAAGACCGGCCAAAAAAACAAAGCTGGAGAATTTATGGGTATCAAGCCAGTTCTTACCCCACCTCAGTGCTGTTTTCTAAACATTTAAAGAGAGCAAATTTGCAGAACAGTTTTCTGGTCACACTCTGTAAAGTATCTCAGTACTTTCTCTCCCCTTCACTTTGCACGTCCTGTTTGGGGATGAGTTGTCAATCTTTCTGAGTTTTTGGTGCTAACCTCCTCCCTCGCCCACAGCGTCGGGGGCCGCTTACAAAGCACTCCCAGTAGGGCCTCCTGGGGAACGAGAAACTGCTGATCCGCAAAAAAGCGGAAACGTGGAACCGGAATTGCGCTCGCACACTTTTGTGTCTTGAAAAGCGAAAATCCCGGGGAAGCTTCCCAATCTGCTTCTCGCTGGTAGCCTCAACTGAAATCTTGGCAGCTCCCAGGATATAAGAAGGTTCAGGAAGAGACTTAAACCCGCAGCGGAGAGGCTGAGAATCCAGCACGGAATGCATCCCAGCACTTGGTTTGTGGGCTTCTGTTTCCTTAAGCCTCGAAGGTGTCGTGGTTCACGGTCACGGTTCCGCCTATCAGCGCCTCCGCCCCGCAGTGCCTGTCGGAGTTCCGCCCTCTCCGCGGGCAATGTAGGGAGTCAGTGGGTCCGAGCGCCCGGGACCCGACGCTCCGCTTTCAAGCAGTCGCGGAGAAACGCCAGCCGAGCTCAGCCCCAGTTATAAACTGTCTTCAGGTAGAGGTTGTAGACATAAAGACCGCGGCGGTCTCAGGGCGTTGTCCTAGGAAACGCCGTTTAAGGGAAGGCGTATTAGTTGTTGGGAGCGTCTTCCTTGCCCCGCCCCGCGCTCGCTGCCGGGGCGCGGGGCGAGATCCCAGCTGGCAGGGAACCGAGACCGCGCTTCCCCAACGCCGGCGGTTTACCTCGTCTCTGTACCCCTAGGCGGCGCTGCACTCCTCCGCACCCGGTCCGCTCCGCTTTCCCAGACGGCTGCCAAGCCTCCAGTCTAGCAAGCCTAGCTAGCAGCCGGCCGGCTCCGGGCAATTCCGGTATTCGGAAGGCGAACGTCGGCGGTCTCTGCACCTCCAGTCGGCAGCAGCGGCCGGTCGGCCCTCGTTTTTTTCTTTTTTAAAACCACGGCTTGTGATCTCCGGGAGTCCGGAGCATGGTCCCGGGTCACCGCTGGTGGAACGAGGACGCCGAGAGGGAGGGAGGATGGTGGGCTGGAGGGTGGCGGTTCTATGTTTGTGGGTCTCCTGCGGCTCTGCAGCGGGACAGCTCGAATACTCCGTGTCGGAGGAGACCGAACGGGGCGTAGCCGTAGGCAGTGTTGCCCAGGACTTGAAGCTGTCAGCGGCCGCTTTGTCCTTGCGGAACTTTCGCTTCCTTTCCAGCCACGGCGAGCCCTACTTCGAGGTCGATCTGGCCAGCGGAAGCTTGGTGGTCAGAGAGCCGGCGGATCGCGAACGGCTGTGCGGGGACAAAGCTGCCTGCGTCCTGACCTATGAGCTGGTACTGGAGGACCCGCTGGAGCTGCACAAGATTCACGTTCACGTCCTGGACACCAACGACAACTCGCCTCACTTCCCTGCCGGCGACGTGCAGTTGCACATTCCCGAGTTCCTGATGCCCGGAGCCCGTTTTACTCTCCGTAATGCCCAAGATGCCAACGAGGGAAGCAATGGGGTGCTAAGCTACAGCCTGAGCCCCAGCCAGCACTTCCGCCTGGACATGGGGTCGTGCGCGGGTCGACGGCAGCGAATACCCGGAGTTGGTATTGGAGAAAGGGCTGGATCGGGAGCAGCGTGCCACCCACCGGCTGGTGCTCACCCCGGGACGGCGGGCCGCCGGCGCGCTCCGGAGACGCACAAGTCAACGTCGTCGTGGTGGACACAAACGACAATGCACCTGTATTTGAGCGCTCATTATACCGCACCAAGGTGCCAGAGACTGCACCCAACGGGACTGTGTTATTCCGAGCTCAAGCCTTGGACCCGGATGAAGGCTCCAATGGGGAAATCCGGTACTCCTTAAGCAATAGCACGCAGGCAAAGCTGCGACACCACTTTCACGTGCACCCTAGAAATGGGGAAGTGCGGGTAGCTGCTTCACTAGGTCCGCCTGAAACGCTGTTGGAGGCATACATCGAGGCGAGGGATGAAGGCGCCTTCGGTCTAGCCAGCACCGCCAAACTGCTGGTGGAAGTGACTGATGTGAACGATCACGATCCCGAGGTGAACCTCCCCACTTTCTCCAGTCCAGTTTCCGAGGACCCCGCCGCTGGCACAGTGATTGCTCTCAGTGTAAGGGATGAGGACCTTGGTCCCAATGGTAAGGTCGTTTGTAGCATGTCCACTGGAGGCCCTTTTAAGCTGAAGGCTTCCTTTGAAAAATACTACAGCTTGCTGACTGATGGGCCGTTGGACTGGGAGCAGGTCAGTGAATACCAGGTCCTGATCACCGCCTTAGATGGTGGCTCGCCCCCCACTTAGCACCCGCAGGACACTGACTGTGTCAGTTGCTGATGTGAACGACAATACACCAAACTTTCCTCAACCGAAACAGGAACTTCTCGTGGCTGAAAACAATGGCCCTGGGGCCTCCCTAGGATGTGTGTTTGCCCTGGACCCAGATCTGGGGAAGAATGGCATTGTCTTTTATGAGCTGTTGGATATTATCTCTGAAGGGCAGGCAGCCTCTAACTTGGTGGCAGTAGATTCCTCCAGTGGGGCTATCACTGCCAAAATTTCCTTTGACTTTGAGCAGCTCAGGGAGTGTCACTTCCAAGTGGAAGCCCAGGACGGTGGCATTCCTCCCAGAAGTGCAACAGCGACTGTGAACTTGTTTGTGGTAGACAGGAACGACAATGCTCCAGTCATCTTGTTTCCCTTGCCCAGAAATGGCTCTGTCCCAGTGGAAATTGTGCCCCGCTCTGCCAGAACAGGACACGTGGTCACAAAAGTGGTAGCAGACAGTGGCTCCAATGCTTGGCTTTCTTACCACATCTCTCAGGCTTCTGACTTGAGCCTTTTTAGAATTTCAGCCAATATGGGAGAGCTCCATACTGCTCGCTTAGTTCTTCCCACTGATGCAGTTAAACAGAGGGTGGTGGTAGTGGTTCGGGACCATGGAGACCCATCACTTTCCACCTCTGTCACACTGGGCATTCTGTTGAGCAACTCTGTCCCTCGGGTCCTTCCAGACTTTGAAGATGGCTGGGAAAAAGGCGGGCACCTTTCTGCCCAGAACCTGTATTTAGTAATTGCCCTGGCCTGTATTTCCTTTTTATTTCTGGGGTGCTTACTTTTCTTTGTGAGTAGCAAGCTGAGCCAGGTCCCAGGTTGTTGCTCTCAGAGCTGCTGTCGCTCTCCAGAGGAGTTGAGATATGGGAGCAAGATGGCTTCGAATCCTTGCATGACATCTGCCACAATAGATGTCACTACAGTCGAAAGACTTTCTCAGACCTATCTCTGTTGGGCCTCTGTGGGACTTGGTTCTGACAATAACAGTTTGCTGTTGCGTGGGGAATACAGTGCTGCTGACCTGAGAAATTTGGCCTCTGGGGTAGGACTGAATGTGCCAATATCCTGTATTCAGATTCACAATAGGAAAGGGGATCATGCAAATGTCAAGGCCGTGGTAAGCAAATTTTATGGGATATGATTCCCTTGACCAGGAAATGACCACTAGCTACTGAAATGTTTCTTAGATGAGCCTTTGGCAACATTTAATCCAATGAATTGAAAGCTCCTGCTTAGCATCAGCTGTGCTAAGGATTCTGGGAAGATATAGGTGTTAAAAGAGACTGACCTTGGCCTCAAGAAGTTTACAGTTTATTTTTGAGAAAGCAAGGTAAGAAATTCAAACCTATTACAGAACAATTAAAATAATATAGCATAAAAAAATATAGCATAAAGGTCTAAAATTAAAAAAAATAAAGCACCAAAGTTTCTGGTACAGGTAATAACCTGGGGGGTCTTTTGTAAAAAATAAATTTATTTATTTTTATTTATTTATTTTTGGCTGTGTTGGGTCTTCGTTGCTGCTCGCGGGCTTTCTCTAGTTGTGGTGAGCAGGGGCTACTCTTTGTTTTAGTGCGCGTGCTTCTCATTGCGGTGGCTTCTCTTGTTGCAGAGCCCAGGCTCTAGGCATGCAGGCTTCAGTAGTTGTGGCACACGGGCTCACTGCTCTAGAGCACAGGCTCTAGTAGTTGTGGTGCATGGGCTTCGTTGCTCCGCGGCATGTGGGATGTTCCCAGACCAGGGCTCGAACCTGTGTCCCCTGCATTGGCAGGTGCATTCTTTTTTTTTTTTTTAAATTTATTATTTATTTATTTATTTTTGGCTACATTGGATCTTCATTGCTGCGCATGGGCTTTCTCTAGTTGCGGCGAGCAGGGGCTACTCTTCATTGCGGTGCACGGGCTTATCACTGCAGTGACTTTTTTTTATTGTCGAGCCTCTAGGTACACGGGCTTCAGTAATTGTGGCTCACGGGCTCTTAAGAGCGCAGGCTCAGTAGTTGGGGCGCACGGGCTTAGTTGCTCCATGGCATGTGGGATCTTCCCGGACCAGGGCTTGAACCCGTGTCCCCTGCATTGGCAGGCGGATTCTTAACCACTGTGCCACCAGGGAAGTCCCCTGGGGTGTCTTTAAATAATTCCTTTTAGGAATTTCTTTAAGGAATTACTTAAAGCAAATATCCCTTCATTAGAAGTACTTTGAGCAACAGATATGTGTAAGGCATTCTGATTCCTAAGGTGAGAATGAAAATTATGTAAGAGTCTTTGTGTAATACAAACTTAATATCATGGATGATGAGACGTTTATTCAAACCATGACAATACATGATTTAAAAATGATGATAACCTAAAACATATAAAAGTAAATTGCAGTGGATGTTCAAAGAAGGGAGAGAGAGAACATGAGAGAACATCTAGGCAGAGAGGAGGGAATCATAGGAGGCTTTGTGGTAGAGATAGCTGTTGAATTGGATTGTGAATGCTATACCGTTTAATAACATGCAGCATGCTCTCTAGGCTATATTTTACAATGAGTCCTGTTTTGACAAAGTAATCTTTTTTGAGAATGATACTCCAAAACACAGCTAATAGTTCCACACAGTGTTTGTAAGGACATAAAAATTCTAGGCATATCTCAAAACACCTATTTGTAGTGACAGAAAGAAGATAAGATGATTGGGTATAGGACTTGACAACCTTTTATTTTGTGTTCTTATTGATATATTTCACAAAGAAGACAGATGAGTAATTGTTATGTCAGAAACATTTGTGTGTTCAAAGGTGCACTTACCATTCAAAGTCCATTCAACTTGGATTTAATATTCTTATTATTTTAGAAGCCAGTATACTTAGAAGTAAGTAAATACCATATTTGGGAGTAATGCATCTAATAAAATTAAATTATACCTCAGTTTATCTGTTTGGCATTTCAAAACTTTCTGAGTGGAGTGGGAGCAATTGGCTTAGCAATTTTACAATATTACTTTCCAACTTCTCATAGAGATCATGGATACAAGAGAAAGGTTGTACAGAAATTAGGGAAGGGAACGAAGGGAATGTTCTACTCTTCTAGGTAATAAGAGGGAAAATTGCATAAGTTATTCTCCTTCAAATAATTATGTTAACTGAAAATAAAATAGATTTGCATCCATTATAATTTTGCATAATTAATATTCACACATGATATAATGGAATCCAATATATATGATTAGTAAATACTTGCTGATGAATGAATAATTAAATTTGTGAATATATTAATTGGTTGGAAACACTGTTCAACATAGAGGGAAAAACTTTAACTTACTTTTATCTTTACATGTATATATAGTTAACAGTTTAAAGGCTATTTTCAAACATATTATTTTCTTCATTATGATATATAATCATGAAACAACACAACAGGGATTTTCTGGTCCTAGAGCTAGCATGAAAAATCTCAATGCTGTATTCTGGGGTTAAATAAGAGTCCAGTTCCTGTAGATAACAAAGTGATTAGTAGGGATGCACATCATAACACTGTGAACTTTGCAGTGAATGAAAATTAAAATGCAGTTATTTTTAAGGGAGAAAATTGGTGCACAAAATGTTAGTATTTCAGGTATCAAAACACAGTGTATAAACTCTATTAAGAAAATTCACCATTTATTTCTTTTATTTCATTGCTTTCTGTAACAAGGAGAGATAAGGATACCAGCAATGTCTATGAAGTTTGATAATCAGGAATTGTTTGAGAGAATCATTTTGACTAGACTACAAAGGAAACATAAGTAAGTGATAAGAAGATCAATGGATCTGAGAGTTAGAAGGAAAATTATCTACTTAAAAGGGGAAAAAATGTAGTTAATAACAGGGGAAAATGTCCCCTGCCACAGAATTTTTAAACGTATGTGAGTGATAAAGTAACAGAGATATACTGTTTAGACGTGCAGGGCTATTGTGCCATCTCACTCATCCAGCTGAACAGTCTTTTTCCATCATTGTTGATATTTCGCTTTTTAGGTTATTCATTGTCTGTTAATTTTTGTGGGCTGGATAATTCCTTATATATATAGAAAGTTTGATGTATAAAAACATGGGGAAATAACTTCTGTAAAGCTGTAGTATTTGTAATTCAACACAGGCATTTATTATTTACTTCTTCCTATCCAAGTGCATGTTGATCCAATCTTGATTCTTTAGAAAAGAATGCTTATCATAGTGTTCACTGAATGCCTTAAGAACAACTACAGAATTCTAGAAATAAGGTATTTGTTGCTTCAGTTTTATAAAACATATATCCTTTGAAAAGTGTGAAATTTCATAATTTTAACTGTGTGCCTGAGTCACACAGAATCATGTTGATGCATATGTGTTTATATTTTGTTCTAACTCTAAGCTCTTCTGTCTTATTTTAGTTTAGAGTGTATGTTAGTATAATTTACAATACTAAAAAAAAATTAAGAAACTCAGGAAGAAAAAAAAATTCAGGAAAACCTTTAATCTATATCTCTTCTTTGTTAATATTTAACAGATATAACCAAAATTGACCCACTGTGCAACAAGTAGACAACACGAGTCTCATGGCAATTTTTTCTGTTAAAATTCTTGATAGGGCTTCCCTGGTGGCGCAGTGGTTGAGAGTCCGCCTGCCGATGCAGGGGACACGGGTTCATGCCCCGGTCCGGGAAGATCCTCCGCGGCTCGGCCCGTGAGCCATGGCCGCTGAGCCTGTGCGTCCGGAGCCTGTGCTCCGCAACTGGAGAGGCCACAATAATGAGAGGCCCGTGTGCTGCAAAAAAAAAAAAAAAAAATTCTTGATAGACAATTTAATTTTTTATATGGTATCTGAGGTGTAAACTCTACTATTTAAAATTAGTTGCATTGGCAAGTTTTTTAAGGTAGTAAATATTAATGTAGCAAAAATGCACAACAGCATACAACTGACTTTATTAAAAATTCCACATGAAAATTATATTTTAAACATACCAATGTTTTATTAGTGTATCGTTCTTCTGGGATTAAAGCAGTTTCTCTTTTGCCAGGATCTATGGAGTATAAAATATTTCCCCTTTGCAGTGTCGTTTGTTAACAGAGTGGTAGAATGTTTTTGGCATTCTGGGTGTTTTTATTTGCTAACGTATATTCCTTAAGTAGACTTTCCCATAGGTTAATTGGATGTTTCCTTATATCTATTTTGACTTTGAAACTGATAACCACACGCCGAAAAACTTGAGTGCAGTAACTAAGGAAGCATGCAAGGTATATGATATATATTCAGATTAAAAATATGTAAATAGATAGCACAATAGTATTCATTGTATAATGCAAAAACCTCAAACTAGTGAAAAGGAGAGAAAAAGAGCATTATAACTTGAGTAGAAAAAAGAAAAGCAATGCTTTTGGGAGATGTGTGAGTGGGAAAGTTTTGACGACATCTGATAATGTTAATGACCTATTGATTTTTGTTGCCTTCAATATTTGCAGTTAGAGGGAAACAATAATATTCCAGAGAGTAAGTACACTTTAGCCGGCTTGGGATGAAGGTAGACTAAATTACTAAGAGGTTTTTACATTGCTCAAATGCGTGTAATGTGAATATCAGAAATAGCATTTGGCAGAACGTCAAACGAATATAAGTCATGATCTAGGACTCTGATTAAAGTATGGGAAGTAAGGAATTTATTGGTAAGGATTATTCTTTAAAACCAAAACTTAATGATAAAGGTGTTGCTCACCTTGTTCCCAAATTTAATTGATGAGATGAGAATGGGTCAGGAAACCACATGTCTCTTTTATACTGCATTTATGGAAAAGAATTAGGATAAGAATTTCTTCCTCAAGCTATAAACACAGAAGGTCATTATATATTCATCTGGAACTTGTCTTGGAATCTAGGAATGAATATGCAGTCACGTTGTCTCCTATGCTGCAGAGAAAGAGAAAAGCCTTTCTGTCCCAACCCAAATTGTTGGCTGTTCCTAGAGCCATCTGTTTGCCATGTACACATATACTGTTTTCATAGCTGAGCTCTATTGACATACCTCAAAATGTACTCTCTGAATTCAGGCACATTATGTTTATTCTTTAGAATCTTTAAGCAAAGATTACAGCTGTTTTGTTTAGAATCAAAACGATGTTCATACAAAATAAAAACAACCAATTAAGACATCTTAATAGTGGGTTTTGGCATCTATATTCATCACTTGAGATTGGCATGTCATTTTCCTTTCTTTTAAGGATTTGGTATCAAGGTTATGCTGGCCTTATTAAACAAGTTAGAAGTGTTTTTTTTCCTCTCCTTTTTTTCTAGTCTCTG